CCTTCAGCCTATAACGAATCATCTTCCCTATAAATTTAATAAATGTAATTTTAATGAGGGAACCTCTCTTGGTAATGTCAAGCCTGGTTGCTCCGTACTTGCTGCAGGCGAGTTATAGAGGGTCTGCTATGTTGCAGACCCTCTATAACCTGTCCTTGATACTATGGTGGAAATCCTTATAAAGTATTCCATCCTCCTTCATGCCAATATTTACCTCAGGAAAAATGGCTGCTTTTGCAATAGCTCTCTACTACTGAAATGTTGTGTAGACTTAGAGCAAAGCAAGCACTCCATGTGTGCTCCTGCTAATAGTCAGGATTACACTGCAGCAAGAATCTTTAGTTTATTGAACCATAAGTTCCATGAAACAAAGTTGTAGGGACCTTTATAACACTTATGGCCTGGGAAACTTAAGAAATAAATTCACATGTTACCTCTTTGTTGACTTGTTGCGTGATGAGACTTTGAAGACTACAAATCAGCCTTTGTGAATGGCAGCACAGGCATTCTGCAGTCGGCAATCCCTCGTTATAACATTGATCTTTCCTGAGATCCTTTCTTCTACATTACAGATGGGAGCTTTCCAACCAGCTGTGTTAATCTGACCCACAGACGGTTCCCCATCCCACCAGTGGAGCTTCTTCTGTGCTTCGATTTTTGGAGTTCTAAGAAACAATTTAAAGCCTAGGGAGAACATGACCTCTGGTTTTTTTACTTTGCAAAGGTTTCTCATGGAACGGGTGTTCTGGTTTGCATACTCAAAAGGGATGCCATGCCTGAAAACTGCTACACTGGGCCCGTTATCCATCTCTGTGCCTTTGCTTTGACCCTGTCCCGTGTCCCTAGCCTTGTCCTCTGCTGGAAAGTTGCCCTTGAAGCAGATGTGTAATTTTGGCACCCAGTCCACGTGGACTCACTACCCTGATGCATGGGTACAGCCCCTAGGAAAATGGAGGAGGAGAATGAAGTGCCCCACCAAAGATGAAATTAAAAGTTTATGCTTTCCAATAAAAGGAAAGTGAATGGGGTAAGGAGATGCTGCTGCTAATTTTCCAAATAGCCATCTGTAAATTAGATTTTGTCACCCTCAAATTTTTGGTGGCCTGGGACCAAGCCCTAGATACACCACCAAAGTTGCATCCCTGCCCTGAGGTGCTTCCTACCCTCCTTGTGTAAATTATGCCTGTTTTTAAAAAGAAATATATATGATGAAATTGCAAATGTAATACTGAATGTGAGACAAGTGTAGTAAAAATGATTTTTTTTAGCTTATTTCATCTTTTTATGTGTTTGCCTGTGCTTCACATAGAATAAATTATTGAGTTGTGTTTCTTCCTATTTCTGGCACTTGGCCGCCCTTGTAAGCTGCAACTGATGGATTTCTATGGTTCTGTATGAAATGCTTCTTCCCACATCTTCTGCTGATAACTTCTTTACTCCCTGAGAATTCAGTGCACCATTTATATCTGTTTTATTCAGAAGTACATCCAAAGCTCAGTAAATGACCATTGGCTATGCATGGTTTGCTTAGTATTGAAACTAGTATTTTGGCTTCTCTGTCTCATGGTAATAAAGAGGAAGTGGGGGACTGCTCAGCCAAATGCAAAGCTCTGATGTAAAGATGCATACTATTGCGCTTGAATAAGTCAGGAGCATTTAATTAACAAGGGACAAGCATGAAAGGTGTAGTGGGAAAGCTGTGCTCTTTTATATGCAGCAGAGGCTGGAGATGAGTATTCCCCTGCGCCCAGTGTTGAAAATATTGGGACTGAAAGATGTATATCCAGCCTTTAATTACTACTAATGAACAGGTTTTGAGTTTTTAAAATCTGCAATGTGTGCGCGATAGTGTATGTGAGATAAAAGAAGTCTCTCTCTCCCAAGTATTTAATATGCAAAAGAACATTTATTTTTCCTTGGCTTAACTGTAGGATAAGTTTCTGATCACATGAATGTTGATAGAATCATTCCTAAGCTACTGCCCAAGACTTCATGGATAGTACTGTTTAGTTTCCATTGTGTAAGCACAACTTTTCACCTTTTGAAAACAAAATGTTATCTCCCTATGTTATTTGTAGCTTGTCTTCTCTGAGCGCTGTCCGTTGTCTCACCTACCTGTGTGTATTGTCCTGGCAGAACCACTGAGGAAGGTGTGAGGACTTGGAAGAAAGGAGGTGGCTGGAGCAGTGCTATCTGTTGTTGAATGTTGCGGTGCACAAACACTGATCAAAATGTAGGAAATGGCTGTTCAGCCTCTCTCTGATCATTACCGCTGCAGCAAAGCAGGCTTTTGTGCTTCTCTTCCTCCAAGCCTAAATAGGCAAAGCTAACCTCCACATAGGAGGCTACAATAAAGCAGCCATCTTTAGCAGCTACATAATCCTGTTCTGTCCTGAAAAAGAGAGGAAGACTGCTGCTCCTTTGTACATTTTGAACATTGACCAGGTTATAGGTGTAAAAACATTTCATTCTGTAGTGTTGTTAAGCTTGCAGGCTCTTGATTGGATGCCAAGCTCTCTTATGGGAGATCAAAGGCAGCTCTCATGTTTGACTCCTGAGAAAGAGAGTGGGGGACGAAACTGGTCTAACTACAATTGTATCAGTGAATACAGGGAGCCTTTCGTCAGTAGCAGAAACAGTGGAGATAGGGAATTTTTTTATTATATTTAATGACCATATAACAACTTTGACACATGGCTGTTAGGTTAAGGATGTCCCAATCTTGTCATAAAATTGTAGACAGCTGGCAAATGTTTAAGTAACCGTGTCTGTTCTTAGTTGGGGAGAAACACCCTCTGAGAATTACAGCTGCTCTTTCAAACAGAGAATTTGAGCAAGAAGTGCCAGTGCTTTCATCACACAACAAGTGAATTTGCTTAGCCAGTATTAACTGTAGTATGATACTTGCTGAGGATATGTAGAATCCAAAACTTTTAAATGAATGAATGGGTAAGTATGAAGAAGCAGGTTGCTCTTCTCCTTTTCAAAACACTTTGGTCATCTGTGAATTAAAGGGGGATGATCCAACGAATTATGGTAACGGATGGCAAACCTTGCAACTGAGAAAATGAATTACCCTATTTTTCTGTGTATATGTATAAGACCCCCTCCCCACTTTTCTAACCCCAAATTTCTTTCTTCACAAGAAAGTGGAGGGGGAAGGCAGGGATCGAAGTGCTTTGATTCCTGCTTCCCCCCTCCACTTTCTTGTGAGAAAAGTGCTTTCTCCCTCCACTTTAATCGTGGAGAGGGAAAGTAGGAATCAAAGCACTTTGATGATTCCTGTTTTCCCCCTCCACTTTCCTCATAAGAAAGTGGAGGGGGAAAGCACTTTCCTGGTAAGAAAGTGGAGGGGGAAAGCAGGGATTGTGGGGGTACCATTCCTAAGGTTGCTAAGCCACATGGGTGTTCTAGTGAGGGAAAACTCTCCTAGCATCCTGTGGCTGCTTCTGAGGGAAGGAGCTGCCATCATTCTCCCTCCTTCTTATTATCATAGAGAGCTTGCCATAGAGGCCTTTCCTAAGGCAAATAAGAGGGCTTGATTAATTGCCTTTCTCCAGACCAACCCTAATAACATGATGTAACCATTGTCCTATCTGAACCCTGTCTACTATCTGTAATCCTGTCACTACCTGTGACCATGTAATGTTATTAAAAGGACAGTCTCCTGGGGGCAGGAGAGGAGAAGACTTCTCATTCTGCTTCCTTCCTGAGTCGCCCACCAGGAGTACTGCTGGCAGACATCTATCTGTGTGTGTGGCTGACTTCTTTACTCTATTGCTAAGAGACTCTTTGCTATCCATTATCTGGAGATCACCACAGAGGCCATCAGCCTGCTCATTGCCTGAACCCAACAAGGGATGAAAGCACTTTGATCCCTCCCCCTTCCTTACTTCTGTGTATAAGACAACCCTCAATTTTCAATCTAAATATTTTAGATAAAAGTATCATCTTATACCTGGAAAAATATGGTACATTATGCCTTGTGTAATTCATTTATGGAATACATTCCTACTGGTTGTGATGGTGACCATTTAATCAGTTGGGGTTTTGAAAGAGTGGTCAGGATGGGTTTGTCAAAGGCTTAGCAAGAGAGAACCATTTTAAGAAGTTTTATATAACTGGTGATGGGAACAGAAAATAAGGTGATGGAAACAGAGAATGATCTGTTCTTCATCTCTCTTGTGAGTTCTCACTGGCATCTAGCTGACTTTTGTTGGAGAACAAATGCTAAGCCAGAGAATTACATAATCTGGTACGCTAAGGCAATCAATACAGTATAGTGTAAGGCACTTCTGTAACCCAGCTTTCTCTTCCAGCTGTTTGGTACTCCACTTGCATTGTTAGTTCCTGTTTTTGTTTCCAGACTTAGGACTGAAAAAACAAACAAAATAAAATTCGATACCTTGTGCAGTTTGCTCCATGGTATGGTGGCCAACATGTGCGTAGTTAAAGTGTATGTGATAAAATAAAAGACTGGTGGTGGCTGTGTGGAAAACTACAGAGAATCTTGACACAAGCTCCAGCACATTAGGAAAACAGAGTAGGAGCCTAAGGGTCCCCTGTCGTTAAGGTGGCGTAAGATAGAAAGGCATCTTCACTAGTCTCCCCACTTTGAAAAACTTTGACCTTACCTCCTGCTTTCCTAATTCTTTTTGTCTGTGTACCATCTGATTCCATAGGAAGGTGCTGCAAGGTAGTACTGTTAAATTAACTTAGGCCATTTAATTGAATTAATATGACATGTGAAATTGTTCCCATTTTGGTTGTGAGTGCAAGCCAGACTTTCAGATGTGTGTATGCTGGGATAATTTAATATATGTCAAGTGCAAGTTGAGTATTTTTCTAGAGCTGCCCGTATTCTATGATCCTTCTACTCCTTCCACATATTGCCAGTGGTGCCTGCTCTTCCAATACAGGTACACAAAGCTGGGCTGAATATCTGAACACATTTTAAGCTAGTTTAATAATTGATGTTTCCCCCCTTTCTTGATCCACAGGGTGTCCACATTGTAAAAACTCCATCCCACATTTCACAACAGCTGCAGAGTTATTTAAAGAAGACCGAAAAGTAAGTCCAGTTGAACAATTTCTCCAATACTATGTATAGCATCATAAGCACCATTTTCTGCTGGCTGTGTTTACCTCAATTATTTAACTGCGACAAAGCTATTTTAAATAAATTTTGTGTTTCATTTGTTTGTAAGGAAAGCATATATCTGTTTGTTTTCCTCTTTATTTTTTCTTTAGCTCTATGTACTGTAGTAGTAGACGTTTTCTGTAAAACTCTTCAGTCCTAAATTTAAGGGAATATAATACTTAAAACCCAGTGGCTGAGATTCAAAGAAGGGAAATATAATGCAGATGGGAATTCGTAGATGAGCTATCATTTCCGCTGATGGTTTCACTACAGTAGGCCCTCACGCTGAGAGAGAAATATCAATGTTCAATTTTAAAACCAGTTTGTCATTCATAATCAGTGAGCACTCTTTAGCTTTATTCAGGGTCAGTTCAGTGTGTGCATTTTTCTATAAGTTTTCTCAGAGATTTATTCAAGGAAAGACTTGCATTGAAAATTCTCATGAAGCACATAATGTAGTTAGTGAATGTGAGGAAAAAAACAACCTTGCTGCTCTCAAGATTTTAGATTAATCTGGTTGCCTCATCACAGCAAGACTTACCTGATTGCAAAAGCACCAGTGATTGGCCTTCCAGACCTTGGATTGCTTCAACCATCTTGACCAATAGTAATGCAAACTGGGGTCCAACAACATACAGGGATGTGGGTTCGCAGGATGGACCCTCCTGTTGGTGGCCACTGTATACCATGTAGGAAACAGACCTCCCTTTGGTTATTGTGGGTTTTTCGGGCTCTTTGGCCGTGTTCTGAAGGTTGTTCTTCCTAACGTTTCACCAGTCTCCGTGGCCGGCATCCTCAGAGGACAGCACTCCCTTTCTATGTACTATACTAGCCTCACAGGTTAGTATTAGTATTGTTTGGTCTTCCAAAATTAAAAAATATATATATTCTTGTGGCTTTTCTAGGCCTTGCAACAGTAAGGTTTCTGTGAGCTTGCTGTGGTTGCTCAACATCAAGAAACACTGTGTTTATTCTGTGTAATAGTTATGAGAAATAAAGTCAGCACAGTCAGAATCTGGGAGCAAAAGATTTGTAATACATGCAGTGCGGATTCCAGACGTTTAAGGCTCTTGGCAACAGCATCCTTTTCTGTGTAACCAGAGCTTTGTCATCTTTAGTTGACTACTTTTCTAAACTGTTCTTTTCCAGACTGAAATGTTATCCTTTCTAAAAGAACACTGGGGGTGGGTGGGTGGCTGGGAATTAAATACCTGCCCTTTTTCATTCCTTTCAAAAATCAATGTTCAGTTAGTTATTCACTTCCATTTTCATAACAAAAGTCAATATTTGCTCCTGCAGAGATTTATTTCCTTGAATCAATAACCTGATGTGTGGCGGTACATATTTTAGTAGGAGAAAAGCCGACTACTCCTGCAAAAGGCGTTTATTATTACAGCCTCTTGTCACATCTGGAATAACGGCCTGTAAGAAGAAGAGGAGGGGAAAAGGCTAAATGTATAAAATGGCAGCCTTTTTTTGTTGTTTAGTTCTTATGCAAAGCAAAACTGAACATGTGATTAATTCTTTCCTATTTGCTTATATGAACGTGAGGAAGTCGTTGCAACAATTAGACTTAGGGCATTCGGGGGGGGGGAGGCTGGCTCAGGACTCAGGGTAAGATACCAGACAATACTTGACACGTGCAATGCCTAGTGTGCCGTACAACTTCTCTGTACTTTACTTTCTTGATTTGAAGAGCAGATAGTGAGCTCTCATCCTCCAATGGTATTTATTTATTTATTTATTTATTGTATTTATACCCCACCTATCTAGTCATTTTGACCACTCTAGGCAGCTTACAACATAAAGGATAACAAGTTCAAGAAAAATTTATAACAATTAATTAATTAAATGATTCAGCAAGATGGGAAAAATACAAAATAAATCAAATAAAGAGAAAAAGAATAAAAAAGGAAAGAGGACAGGAAATAACTGGAAGGGAAGGCCTGCCTATACATCCACGTTTTTAGTTGGTTCTTAAAAGTACCCAGCGAGGGTGCAGCGCAGGTTATTCCAGAGGCACCACCACCAAGAAGGCCCGGTTTCTAGTTCTTTCCTTCCAGGCCTCCCTCGGCGTCAGGCTCCTCAGCCTCACCTCCTGGGTTGCGCGGGTGACCCGGGTAGAATTAGTTGTGAGTAAGCATTCCGCCAAGTATCAAGGTCCTAAACCGTTTAGGGTTTTATATGTAAGCATTAACACTTTGAAGTCAATGCGGATACGGATGGTAGGCAAATAACAGACTGACTGACTTGTTTGTAAAATTGTATAGGATCATATTAGATTCCTGGTTACTATTTAGTTCTTTCTGATTTTGTATTAGAGTCTGCCTGTGAATATGGATTTGGTTCCTGTGAGCTGGAAATCTCATTTATTATTAGGTGACAAGTTTTCTAGGCTCTCACACCTCCATGGCCCCCACACTTGGTGTCAAGATTCGGGCCTGAACACAGAAGTCCACACAACTCACTCAGCTATACTGCCCAGATTACCCTGATGTATGTGGTTTTCAGGAGGGCCAAATGTGCTGCTGGCTGGGGAAAATCTTCCTGTCTGGTCCTCTCCCAACAATGTGAGCCACCTTGACCTCTCAGCACTCCAGGGAGTTACCAAAAACCACAAGGATGCTTGCATGAGCTTGCAAACCAACCTTGCAAGGTGGGAATACCAATATACTCACAAAATGTAAAGGACCCTGAGGTAAGGCACCTTCTTTAGTACCACTAGCCCCCTTCGTCTCAGAATGACAAAACAGCTGGAAAAAATATTATTTTAATAAAAGTGTTGCAAAATAAAATAAAGGCTCAAAAACAAATTGAAACTTAAAGGCAAATAAAAAAGATGCGAAGAAAATCTATATTCAAAATGTTAGAGGCTAGGCAATTCTTAAGCAGTCCCCACAGGGGGGAAAACTATCTATCCTACACTTATACTTACAACATAGTCACATTGAAGCATAGTTCCAGAGCAGATGCAGAGTGCAGCAGGAGAACAAACAAGCATAGCATTCTCCTAAAAGAGACCAAGCTGTACCATTATATTATCTGAGGTAATATTATACTTGTCATCCACCTTTTTCAATCTTTGGATGTAATCCCACCAATCAGATCCCAAGTTACTCTGAGTCTCCTAGAAGGGAGTAGCTTTTCTGCAAAGTAACTTCACTCACCTTGCTCTTTCCCCTCCCCTGTGATTCTTTTAATTATGGTATCAGGCAAAGAAAAGCCTTTTTGACCTTGGTCCCCACCAGATAACACCCATCTGCAAATTGTCTCCTAATCCCCACTCCCTTCCACTTCTCTCTGGCACAAGGCAACAGGCCTATGTTTTTACAGGGCAACTGGGATGCATTAACCCCTCTTTTGCCAGACTTCCTTCACATTGGGGTCTCCAGACGATGCTGAGCCTCCCCTTCCAGAAGCTCCATTATCAGTGCTCAGAGATTCTGGGGGATGCAATAATAGGAGCTGCTGCTCCACTTCTGTTTTAAGACTGCACCCCAAAGTGAGTTTGTTTAAAGATTTTTTTCCTAAGCCTTGTATTGATAATGAAATCCTGCCATGAAGACAAACTGAATTAAGAATTACCTTGGTTCACTGGTAGCCATTGCCATGTCCAGCAGAAGTTACTTTCTTCTGGACTGGCATGGCTACCACTTACTGGCTAACCACCATTTCGCCGCCCCCTTGCCAATCTATTCTTGTAAGATATTCCACACCCAGATTTCTCTCTTCTGTATTTTTCCTACATCTGGAAAATCTTTTTTGAGTCAACAACACCATGAGCGCTGAATTAAATTAGCAGTCTAAAGGTGACCACTACATGCATTTGCCCTTTTGCTGGTATGGCCGGTTCAAGTATGTTGCCTCATAAGAATATAGACAGAGCGCTTTTGGCCACAGTCCTGTACTCACTTATTTGTACACACACAGCTCACTGTGTTCAGGATGAATTGTTTCTGACTAGATGTATGTACTGACCCACATATATGCTACCTTCCCTCCCGGCCCAGCATGCCATGCCCACCCAAAATAAATAAATAAATAAAAATCTGCCTTCTCTGGGTGATCTCCCAGCCTGTGGGGCATGTTTTGAGGGTGCACAGGAAGGGCCGTGGAGGGGAGGATCATCCCTTCTCCATCTGTTCCATCGGCAAAACAATCCCGTGCTACCTGACTTCTCTTAACCACCGGTTAGATCAGCTGTCTGTGAGACAACAGATCACACAGAGAACTATCTCATTAAATAATATGAGACCCTCGGACACTATGACAATGCAGGGTCTGTCAGTTATATATATCATTATAGAACAGAAAGCTGTATTTTATTGCAGGCCTGGAATGTGTTTTGCTTGAAGTCATGATATGAATAGTGCCGAAAATGGTTCTCCAGCTCATTCTTGCAAATCCCACTGAGGCAGGGGCGTGCTAGCTGCAATTTTCAGATAAGGTGCTGGGGAACTGACAGATTAATGTTCACATTTCAAAAAACTCAACATCTTCCTTTGAATCTAAAAACATGAATAACTGCTTTTTTAAAAAGGGTACAATAAAACATCCTTCACTTTAAACAAAAAGCCCTGCAATCTTTTCAAAATAAAAAAATATGCACTCAAGCACTTTATTTTAAATTTTACCATGCACGTTGTTTTCTGCAAATGATATTAAAGCTAGTAGTTCTGATCTAGGGCCCAGTTCCATACAGTGCCCACAAGGACCTACACGCAAGGAAGACATCCATCCTTCCTCCTGGTATCAGGCTGCATGCCGCGTCCCAAATGTTTGTGAGGGGGTTGCCTCAGGTGCGTCCAGCAGGCTCTCTGGCCCTGCCCCACAAGCCTAGGAGAGAGGAAGTCTCCCGGGCCCCTAGCCAACAAGGATGTGCCACTGCAGGTAGAGGAAAGGGCGCCACCTGATTCAGGGCACCTGGAGGA